CACCTATACTAGAGTAAACATGTGATTAAGCAATTAATGATAACCATCGATCATTAAGCAACTTCCATCTTGTCATATTCACTATAAGCTGTCCAAGTGTTCCATAAACATTTACTACGATGAAGTAACTCAAGTCAAGTGCTCACTATCCAGAGCGATGGCGATTCGAATCGATTCCTAACCGGTGGTGATTTATTCCTTACACAAATCTCACTCACCCGCTAAAGTGAGATATTGATCACCGAGTCAACTTTCCAGGTATCTCGAGTTTGCCAGGAACCACATGTACCCGAGGGCCGACCGACTGCACTTTGGTCTTATCATCCCGCCCCCGTGTCCTACCGTACACTGCTTCGCACGGTCATGGCTGCGGGCAATCTACTCGCCCGAAAAATCTCCCGGCCAGCGGTCGGAAGGTACTTTATCCGCCAGCTAAATGTAAGGCATGCGTTCAACATGACTCGAGGCCCAACAACGGTCGGTCCTTAATCGACACAGACGGAAACACTACAGTCCAAAACCCTGCAAGTCTCCGCCCGGTCTCAACTTCATTTAACACTTAGTTATACCATGACTTCATAGCCATCCAAGCAGATCCAGGTAACCACCTATAGCTCGCGGTGATGGAAATCACCCGACTTCTACGGTCTAAGCCGGCTAAGCATTGACTCATTGCGGATACCGTGGTAACAAGGATATAGTATAACAAAGGTAAACAAGGTATAATGCAAAGAACGGTTGCAAACAACTCCTGAACGTAATGCATCAATTTAAAGTAAAGCATTTAACGAAATCATTGCAAACGGGAGAAAGATGCTCGGGGCTTGCCTCTCTCGAAGGAGCTCGGGACGGTGATCGGGGCACTCCGGAAGTTCTTCAACGTCCTCCTCGGCTTCGGCACTTCTCGCATTTGCACCTCGAATCGCTCCTCGGGCTCCTCGGGAATGACGACCGGGTTCTCGGTTTGCGATCTGTGTATGATGCAATGCGTGTAAGTGCCTATGCAATCGGTGCATCGAAGGAGATGAATGCGATGAACATGTTGAAAGGCAAGGTAGACAACATCATCCAAGAAACTATGCTACAAGCACATGTCATCTACTGCATTCTCTTCTACTACTAATATGTCAAGTTAACCTATCTTGTGAAATGCTTCAAAGATATACCAAAGCTTTACTAATTTCTTAATCACACTTAAGGCAACACTTGCTTAAACCTTAATTAATAATAGGTTTGAATAGCAACCTATATTTCTGATGCTCCTAAAATCTGAGAAAATTACAGTAGCATAATACTACCCTAAACAGACTACCATAAAAATTTCATGGCATTTGGATAAGTAAACTATCCTACACAAAAATGACAAGCTATAGCATAAAAATGAGCATGAAATTACTTTGTACTATGAAAAGTGTCAAACAACAGAATTAGTATTTTTCCTAGATTCTAAACAGTAAGTAATCACTATACAAAAATTACTACATGCATGTTTTATACAAATTTTGCTCTCTAGCAAAAATAACAAAAATCAGCCATCTAAGGTACTTGAACTACACCTCAAAATTTTCCCACAGCACATGCATGAAACATATTTTTCCTAGGAAGTACATGACATAAGAAGATTAACAAACTTGGAATCATATTTTTCTGAAGCCTATATATTTTTCTACATATTTTTCAAGTTATCAGCAATATTCAAGATTAAATAAAATCCTATAGAAAAGTATCTCAAAATGTCATGCACAATTTTTCCCAAGTAGATCTGATGATAAGGAACCTAGCAAAATTTGTTTCAACAAATTTGGAGCAACTTTGAGTATCCAAATATTTTGCAAACCATTTCTGTTTTCAAATAATAATGAATAAATTGAAAACAAATCATTTAAATGCTACTGGGCCGGCCCGCGGAAATGAACTGGCCCACGGCCATCACCGGCCTGCGCGGCCCAAGCGCGAGGGAGGGGGAGTCGGCCTGGCTCGGGGCTCGGCCCACGGCCACTTGGCCCGGCTCGGCTGGCCGGCCGAAGCAGAGGCATATGCGGCTTTCTTGTTGGGCTGGCAATGGCTGTGGCTTTCCACACGAGGCCGTGGCCATCTCCGGCCGAGGCAAGGAAGGGCTAGCCAGGCGCATGCGATCTGTCTGAGAAGATGGTGAGTCTTGGTGGGAGTAGCTAGGGGGGTGGAGAAGAGGAGGAAGGCGACTTCCATGGCGGCCGAAAGACGGCTGACGCTGGCCGCCGGATGCAGATCGAGGCGGCTCTACTGAGTTTCTAAGGCGGGCGCAAATCTGAGCATGACTTGAAGGAGGGCGAGGCGGAGCTCATGAGGCGCGGGATTGCCAACCGAGGTGGGGAAGCCATGGGCGACCTTGGGCCGGCTGGTGCTGTGGCCTTGACGAGGCAAGAGCTTGGGGCTCTCGGCTTTGGCGAAGAGGGAAGGCGCATGGGGAAAGTGAGCGAGCTCACCGGCACCAGCAGTGTAGGTGGGGCGATATGGTGTGGCGCAGGTCGTGGCTGCAGGCGTGGCGTGGCGCAGCCGCTGCCAGGCGGCCACCTGTAGTGGCGAAGCTCTGTCATGGTCGGAGGCCATGTGTGGGTGTGTGGCAGCATGTGTGTGCAGGCAGTGTGCCATCTTGCTGGGCTGGGCCGAAGCGAGGGTGAGAGTGTGTGGCGTGGGAGGCTCATTGGGCCGGCATGCATGGGCTGGGCGGAAAGGAGGCGGCTGACCCAAAAAGTAAAACACTCTTTTAATTTCCAATTTCAATAAATTTTTAAATAACAGTTTTCAAATATTATTTTGAGCAAGAAAATGACCTCTTTTGAAAATGTACCAAAAATGAAAGTTGCTTAGAATTTAATTCCCTACAACTTTGCTTTTATGACCACAGTCCAATTCTATCTAGATTTTAGATTATAGAATCAAAGTTAAATTTTTTTTTTTTTTTTAACTCAAAACCCTAATTTTGGGAAATCACTTTGGAAGCAAAATTTTGAATTAATTTAAATACAAACCTTGCTCCAAAAATTGTGATAAACAATTCTAGATGATTTTCAAGCATAACCAACAGTTCTATTCAGCTAGTAAGCAATAATCAGAGCAAAACAACTCTAATAAGTGTATGCATCATTTACTTTTCACAAACATGTTTCGTATGTTTCGAAGGAATGTTTCAGTTATTATATGCAAGATTATGCATGTATGATTAGGATGCTTGATGATGCATGATATGCATGATTTGCAGTGCCTAAATGTAGGCATAACACCGGGGTGTTACAGCGATCCCGCCTCACCCTACGACAAATTTAGAAGCCGCACGATCCCACCTCACCCGGCGACATAGTAGGAAACCGCGCGATCACGCCTCACCCCTGCGACAAATTTGGAAGCCGGAAGCTGGGCCTTCTTCACCGCGAACGCCCTCGCGATACCTAGGAATGGATACCTAGGTTGAATAAAGAAGTAACATGTGTTCGTTCTTAAGATTTCTCTAGAATTATTTAGCTTTTTTAATACCCAGCCAAACGCGTAATCCTACATAGTTGCTATTTTTTCAATTTTTAGGTTTGTATATGCATTACTACCATATTTCGTGTTTTTCTATTCTTGTGTGTTTTCGTTCTTCGGTTCCAAAGGGGCCTAAGGACACAAGAATGAATGGGTTACAATCTTAGCAACGGTAATTGGCTTAGGGCACTTTAGTAGAGATGGCAACCAGGTTAAAGTTTTCCTGTGATGTGATCTAAATCCAAATTATGTAAGAGACCTTTTATGTAACCTTCTCAAGTCACTTAAATAATCTACTACAAAACTAGGCATCACCCTAAGCTATGAAAGCCATCTAAATGGACCTCTGCATACATCTAAAACATAATTTCTTTGTCTGTTGTACATTTGTATCACGAACCATTTCCTACTTTTTATTCTCTTTCCCACATCCTTCCACCTTAGATTGGTGCCATGGATACGCGTGCATATTTATCCGTGCGATTGGGTCGATTTTTCCAAGATTGGGAGATGACATTGAGAGTTGTTGGAGATGTTTTTTCATTCTTGTTAAAAATCATGGATTGGGAGATTGTTTTGGGAACTCTTGCAAATGCTCTAATATGCTAGATAGAAAAACACCCCTCCAAAACCATATTAGGGTTATTGAGACGGTTTTAAATAGTTTGGTGTGCCTAGTTGGCTGGTGTCATGGTTCATGGGTATAATAATAAGTTGACGAATCTCAATGTTGTCTCAATGTTGAATAAACATGTGTCTCCAAACTGTTAACTGTACAACTAGAGAGAGGTTCAAGTGGCTTTTAGATTGAATATCTCAAAAGGCCTGACCATATATTGGACACGACCAAAATTATGAATACCAATGGGACAGCTCGATCTCTCCAAAGAGACAAGAGAAAAGAAATATGAGAAATTTTATATGGACGCATCACCATGTGCAGCACAAAATAAGTTACAAAATAAGTGCTCGCCTTTTGAGCAACAAGCTCTCCGCTTCTGCCTAAAGCAATTATTGTTGAGCATCCTAGTGATCAAACTTAATCTGGAAAGCAGGTCAAGCTTTTGAGCTTAATGTGGCAGCAGAACATTCTGATGCATCCAATGTTTTGTAACATGTATTCGGCCAACATAAATAACACATATTCAGATCAGAGGAAACTGAAATTTGAAGTGGTATTAGTAATAACTCAGTAGCAAATTACATTATTATTCTGAAAGCTGGAGCACAAATGATAGAATTTGAAGCTAACTATTACTTGAGAACGCCAAACATCACATATAAATTGTGCAACTTGGGCAACCACATGTCCACATACATTAAGCTGCATATATATGTAAAGCAAAGCTATCTCACACACAGGTCTCCACTGCATATATAGTTGAACAAAACCATCAGAAGGAATATGATACATCCAAGCAACATCATATCTGAATTAAAATGCATGCACCACCTAACAGTAGTAGTGTATAATTTTGGTAGATTTACCCAAGTTTCTAACGACTCCATAATCCATCGAGATCAAATTCACACAGGGTTTTCTGGAGAGCCTCGTCTGTCTCCAGTGCTGATGACCTGGAGAAACAGGGGACGTATGGAGTTACGGCTCTGTAGTTGTGCCCGAGAGTGCAGAGGCGCAAAACCTTTTCGTACTGTCTACTCATGTGGTGCTGTATGAGTTCCCCTTTCCTGTGGTCAACAAAGTAGACGAAATTCCCGTCCGGATGAATGGCAACCACTTCATAGTCCTCTATTCTGCATTCCTCTCTTCCAGACAGCTCACCGCCCCAAATGCCGAACTTCTTTATCCAATTTTCAGCATCATAATCCTGAAGAACATGAACGTGCATTATCATTCTGTCCCTCCAGTCTTTATCTTTATCTATAAAATACGCACTAATGCAATGCAGGCGCCCTTGGGACTGACCAATAAAAACAGCTTCGGTGAACATGTCCAGCTTCCAGTGTATGACCCTACATATTCTCCCTTCCCCATCCACAGCAACTATGAGCACATCATCATTCTTATTTGGCCTGCTGCGTTCGACCAAGAAATGCAGCATGCCATTCAGAAAGCAACTGCCCAACCGGGATTTTACCGTGACTAGATATCGATTGTCCTGTTCGCCTTCCTTTGCAAACTGCTTCCATTCGCTCGATCTGTTGCTCCATTCCCCGGTCTCGGACGAGTAGATGTGCACAACCCCTTCATCTCCACTGAAATTGAGAAAACCATCCTCATCATGCCAGAACTGGATCAAGAGGTAGCGTGAGGGCACGGCCGGGTCGAAGAACAGAAAAGTGCTCTCGAATTCCTCATCGCGCTCTTCGTCGTCCGGAACAACCCAGCCAGAGCTGGGGACCGTGACCCATTGCTTGGTGGCGGGGTTGCACACGATGTAGCCCAGCGAGTGATAGTTTTCTGAACCCTCTGTGCACCCAAAGAGGAGAAGCCCGTTGCATGAACACAAGAGATCCATGATGCCGACATGGTCCGGCACGAAGGAAAGTTCTGTGTCCGTGTCATCTGGGACAGGCATGGATTTAGCCAACAGGTCCAAGAAATGAAAACCATAGTTACCGCCGTCATCCCTGTTGCCGACGTGACCGCCATAATAGCTGCTGCCATCTCTATTACCGCTGCCATCTTCATCCTCGTCCCTGTCGCTGCCGCCACTGCTGTTGCCGTTGCTGTTACCGCTGCCGTCTCCATCTTCGTCCGTGCCGCTGCCGTCTCCACCGTCGTCGTCTCCACAGGCACCGTCTCCCTCATCATCACTGTCTCCATCGTTGCCGCCGCCGTGGACGTGCCTCTTGTAGTCGTAGCCGATGTAGAAAAACCCTTGTAGGGTTTGGGGGAGATTCTTACGGCTGTCCGGAAAGTTGATGAAGACGTCGCGCCATTCTCTGGACAAGGCTGTGGATCGGTGGAGATCCTTGATGGAGAGGCGCGAGAGAACATCAAAGAAGGGACCTTCGGGGATGGGGAGGGGGAGCCCGCTGGCCACCGTCTCCATTTCTCCCTGCTTAGTCTCCATTTCACGGCGGGGTAGGGTAGGGGTGGGCTACGGACCGGAAGTGGAGATGGCTAGACTTAGCTTGTTGGGTGGCTGCGTGTTGTGCTGTGGGCTTTGCTGAGAGGCCATAGGCGATTTTATAAACTGCAAAAAAGGTTCTTGCTCACCAACAACCCCTCAGAACGCGTTTTGCCCAGCTATGCCGGGAGATGGACAAGGCTTCCGTGGGTAGCTGCGTGCTGTGCTATGGGCATATTCATTTATTTTTGTAAACTGATGAAAAAGGTTATAGCTCCACCCACCCCTCAGAACGCACTAACTGGTACAGCCAATATATGTCGTGAGCATCGTACTCCACTTGGCTTAGGTCCGGTCATCTTTACTAGTAATGTATGACGATGTTTTCTTTGGAGCAGCAAATAAAATAAAGCTACTCAAAGTTGGCCTCTGTAAAGCTCCGTTCTAGCAATTGAATCGTCATGATTATACTTTGATCGTCATCTAATTATGCAACTAATCGCCCCTCTCTCTAGCCCTCTCTTCCATCCCTTTCTTTATCCAATTTTGTTTCCATAACATTTGGCTTTTTGACATGAATACTATCGGAAACGAGAATATCTTACCGATAGGAAAATTTTGTTGGAAATATGTGCCTAAAATACATTCCAGATTTTATTTGGAGAAAAAACTCAGATAAAAAATGATGCAAGTATATAAAACATGTAAACAGGCAACATACTGACTAGAATATGATTGCGCAAGGAAATTACTCAATGATCCCGCGCAGAACGTAGTCGAACGTGTTGAAGTAGATGTTGCAGATCACCCAGTGGTCGCGTGTAGACGCTGCCCAAAATCCTGATTGCCGCCCCGTGCAGGAGTCTCGCGGCAGTGGTTTCAGAGATCCCGTTATCTTCAAGTCCGGTGCACGCCGAACTCAAAGGTCGACGAGGCGCAGCAGCGAAAAGCTCAGCACAGCGAGTGGGGAGGTGAGCGTGTGACTACCTACCTTCAACCAGGACGTCTCCTGGTTTTATAGGCCTTCATAGTGCATCAATTCCCCTCATCAAGCAGTAGAAACTGTCCATTTGAATGACAGAAACTGTTGCAATTATTACTGTTTAAAATGGCAGTTTCAATCACATTGAAGCGCCATTATGCTCAGCATAAAAAATAGAAACTGCACAAATAATAGCCTGTTGTACACATATGCGTCGCGCTTGTCGCAAGTCACGCGATTTTTCACTCGAAAAATGCGCGTGACCTGCGCGTGCATGTAGCAACAGTCTCCTTCTCTCTTATTTGCACCTATTTTGCATAGAGAGGAGACTCCCATATTTAAGCAAGGCAACCTCTCCTTGAATTAGTAATATGGGACTAAAGGTTGTGCGTGCTTTGGAATTTTTCAGATTGGGCCAAACATGGGCCTAAATCGAACAAATTTAAATCAATTTTCTTGACGATGCACCGACAAGAAATAACCGCCAGGGATAGAGTGACAAAGAAATTAAAAAAATGTCTAACAGTGAACTGACAGGAAAATTAAGAATAATTTCTCTATTCTTATATATCCAGCAGAAAAAATACAAACCTGACAGGTCAAGAAATCCACCTCTGTTAGCGCCAACCAACAGCAAAATTATACTCATCGATAGGAAAAGTGTTCTCCAATTCACCCGGATTCTTTATCCTGTCACCAAGTCTTGATTTGTCTAGCTGACTGCATGGGCATGCTACACAGGAGAAGACGACAAGGGTGGATGAAGGACGTCATGCTCATCCCCATTGGGTTCAGTTGTCCGTTGGGGAGCTGCGTCCACTCAGTAGTAGAGACAGGCTCGACAGTGACGCGCAAAGGATTTGGCCTTGACAATAGGCTCTAAGCCTCTAAGGACAGCTGATGGGGCTTGACTAGTGGGCCGGGCCAGCAGGCTTACTAGGTGACTATAGGCCAGTTTGGTTGTGCAGCCAGCTTTGCCTGGCTTTGCTTTGCCAGGCAAGCCTAACCTTTCCTATCAAGGAGAGCAGAACCGGCTGGCTCACTTTTGCAAGGAAAAGTTGGACAGCACACAAGACCCAAGACAATTTTTACTAGGGAACCAAACTCATCCACCATGTCGTCTCCTTGCACAGCTAGGCAATACATTAGCAAAGCAAAAAAATCCAAATAGACCCCATATTTTTTTGTTTTTTTTTTATTTACAGTGGCGGACTTGACCTTGCCTCTGTTACCTTTGATTAATAGGGACCCAATGAAAGAGGCGGGATGGATGCCTGCCTCTGAAAATCTTACCTGGCCATCTCTATTAACCTAGTCTGTAGTGGTGAACCACCATGGTTCACCTCTTCCTCCTGGTGTGGTGGTCTCGCCAATAGTGAGGAGTGAGGACCCTCTATCATCTAGTCTATTCGTAATAGTTAGAGTTTCGATTGAATAATTGTGCCCCATGGGCTACTGCATCGCATTGTCTTTGTCAATTCCTCATTGTATATTGTGTCTTCTAGAGAATTCTGGTATATGAACGGCTATTTAGTTCGGCGTTCTTCACGTCATTTTTTGCATGGTTCATGTGATTTGTTTGATGTTCCATGTTCCATCTTTGTGTCAGTGGCTCGCTAGATTCTGATGTTGCAATTGTTGGGAAGTTATCTAGACTTCCTATCCTACATGACTGGTACTTGTGGTGTTAGATTTATGGTCCTTGATCATCTTCAACGACGAGGCATCAATACTCCTTCACTATCTCACATGCATCCCAAGAAATTTCCATGGCATTGGATCATACTCCAACCATGGTCGTTGGCATCATTGACCTCTGTAATATCAGAACTTGGAAATCATACAACATGGATTGGAGGTGAAGAATGTTTTTGACCGAATCAGCGGGGGAGTCCCCTACCTATTTTTTTGTTTTTCTATTAAATGAAAGAATGGTATTTACAAAGTTTTTTTTTTTAAATACAAGGCTTTCAAGCCCAAAAGGAGAAAAAAGGTGACCCTATACAATGAAACTATCTCTCCAGGAAGTTAGAAGCGCTTGTATGCTAGGCTTGGCCTTAGTGCAAACTTGGCCAAGTTCTTCTTTGAATTCTCTTTTCCACATGTTGATGTCAGCTTGAGCATTGTCAAAAATGACTGCATTCCTGGACGTCCAAATTACCAAACAAGCTGTTATAAATATTTCTCTGAATATCTGATTCCCAAAATTGGATATAGCATCGATGATCATGTCTAATGGTGGAAGATACATGTTCCAATGGACAGGGATAGTATTCCAACAGCTCTGACTAAAGCTACATTCAAAAAAGAGGTGGAAACTTGTCTCTTCATGCCCACCATTACACAAGACACAATTATAGTCATCAAGCTCCATATTCTTTCTTCTCTGTAAATTCCTTGTGTTTAATCTATCTCTGATTAGCAGCCAAAAGAAGAATTTGTGCTTGCCTAAAGTGCAGGAAGCCCAAAGCCAAGAGAAGAGAGGAGAAACTTCTGAGTTACCAATTAGCAACTTGTAGGCCTTTTTGCTGCTATACCTTGAATTGCCCCAGGAATATGACCAATTGTTCTGAACATTTTCATCCCAGTCTCTGTCTCCTAAAATTTCATCAATTTCTTAAAGTTGTCTTGCAGCTTGCTGAGAGAGGGGTAGACTAAAAATCATGTCAGCTTCTTGATCAAGGAAGTACCTTATGGAGCATTTTGGTTTTTGAGTGAAGGAGAAACGCTGTGGGTACTTCTCTTTCAGGCTATGCCCAGCCCAACTGTCTGCCCAAAAAGCAACTGTATTGCCTCTGCTGGGACAGCAAACTGAAAAGCTTTGGAAACTATCAAAGAGTTTAATGATGTCCTTCCACCAGAAAGAACCGACTGGGCTTATGAGGTGTGGTGGAGTCTGAGTGTTGGAGTATAATCTGTCCCAGGTCAAAGTTACCCATGGTAAGTCTGCTTTATTATAAAATTTGTCCAAATATTTCATCAAGAGAGCACTTATTTGACTTTCTATGTCAATGATTCCTAGACCACCCTGGTCTTTGGGTTTGTAGGCTGTCTCCCTAGCAACTAGGTATGTGCCCTTTCTATTTATGTCCCCTTTGCTCCATAAACAATGCTTCCTGTAGACATCTATCTGCTTGATTGACCTGTGGAGGAATTTTCAAGCTGCACATGTAAAAAGTGGGGAGGGCAGAGAGGATAGAATTTACCATAATCAGCCTGCCATTGTACGATAAGAATTTACTAATTCCACTCAGTCTTCTTTCTATTCTTATAAGCAATGGAGAAAATTCCTGCAGTGTAGGCTTAGTGGTTCCAAGGGGGAGTCCAAGATAAGTAAAAGGCATGCTTCCTACTTTGCATCCAAAGGTGTTGGCCAAGTGTAAAGTTCTTGAATCACTAATGTTAATAGGAACCAAGAATGACTTACTAAAGTTCACATGCAGACCAGTGGAGTATGAGAATGATCTTAAAAGGCATTTCAGATTAAAAATAATTCTTGCATCTCCAGGGAGAATCAGGATAGGATCATCTGCATATTGGACTATTGGGTAGAAATCTCCAAAACTATCACTTAGAGGATGTTTAATAAACCATTGTGCCAGGCTTTATTAACTACAGATTGAAGTAGATCAGCTGCTAAGACAAAGAGGAGGGGGGATAGAGGATCACCTTGTCTTACCCCCCACTGAGAATGACTGAGGAGGTACCTGTGCTCAAAATATTGTGTATCCAGTTAACCCACTTGTCAGAAAAGCCTTTGTTTTTAAGCACATTCAGAATCACAGGGTGCTCCAATTTGTCAAAGGCCTTTTCAAAATCCAGCTTTAGGATGACAATTTCTTTTTTGGACTAGTGGCAAAGGTGAAGAAACTGGAATGTCCAGGCCAGACAGTCCTGAATTGTTCTGCCTTTTATAAATCCATATTGGTTTAGGTGAACCAGATCAATGATAACTGACTGAAGTCTAGCTGATAGGAGCTTTGTGATACACTTTAGTGAATAGTTCAGCAATGAGATGGGT